GGGAAGTCAGCGGAAGTTGCCGACGCATTGTTTTTGGTGCTTTTCGGAGCGTGAGAAAACTTCAATCCTAGCTTTCGCGGTCCTCAGTGAGGAGTAGATAGCTGGTGCATTGAAGCGAGACGTGAATGGATTTCTGACGTCAGCTTCGCTCTCCTCCGTCAGAAATATCATTCACAGGTTGCACGAGTAAACAAACCGATAGAAGCAGACCGATACAAACAGATCGATATAAGCAGACCGATATAAGCACATCTTCTCCTTATAAGCAGACCCCCCGTACTCGCCTAATCATAATGTCTCCTCCCAGCAGTCCCTCACCCAAGGGCCAACGTTACCTGGGCGTATTTGGGTCGGGGGATTCAGGGGGGTTAGGGGGGTCAGGAGGGCTGGGAGGACTAGGATCAAACGGCAGCAACGGCGGCATTGGGATGGCAAGCGGTGTCTCTAGCGGCTTTTCTGCCTCGGGTGCAGGCGTAGGGGGTGGTGATACGGGAGGAGGGGTGATGGGAGGAGGAGGGGTGGGAGGAGATATTGGGAGTGATGGCAAGCCCATGGGGCCGCACGTGCACCACCATGTGACGCCCGATGGCAGGTAGGCAGCACCAGGGATGCATGGAGGGGGACGAGGCATTGGGGGCGAGGGAGGGATGCATGGAGGGGGAAGGAGGTATTGGGGGCGAGAGCAAGCCCATGGGACCGCATGTGCATCACCATGTGACGCCGGATTGCAGGTAGGCATGGAGGGGGAAGGAGGTATTGGGGGCGAGAGCAAGCCCATGGGACCGCATGTGCACCACCATGTGACGCCGGATTGCAGGTAGGCATGGAGGGGGAAGGAGGCATTGAGGGCGAGAGAGCAAGCCCATGGGACCGCATGTGCACCACCATGTGACGCCGGATGGCAGGTAGGCCAGCGCAAGATCCAGTTAGGTTGCATCTTAGGGGGAGGGGTGGGAGGAGATGCAGAGAGTGAGGGCAAGCCGATGGGACCGCACGTGCATCACCACGTGATGCCCCGATGGCAGGTCGGCGTGAGCATGTACAGTATGCAGTGGCGGCATGCAAAACCGTTCAGCAGCGGACTTGCCAAACACTGCTGATCTCTTCTCTTATAACACTTACCATCAAGTACGTGTATCCAGTCCAGATGTATCCGGTGTAGGTAGTCGGCCACGAGACCATTCAAGTCCGAGTTCTCTCAACGTCTTTGCCAAGGCCGCCGCCGGGTGCATCTGGTCCTTCTCCCACACCGACTTTCCTCCCTCGCCACTCCCACTATCCCCAGAGTGGTGGCATATGAAACCATCCAAGACCGGCTTCTCAACGTGTTTGGCAAGGCCGCCGGGTACATCTGGTCCTTCTCCCACACCGTTGCCCGCGTGGACGTGGTCCGGCCAATCACCACCTCCCACCGCCGCCGCCGCTACAACCAGGACGGCTACGAGGATGACGGCAACGGCACCGGCAGCGCCTACTTTGGCGCTCAGAGGGACAGCTCGCCTGTGTGGCGGGCGAGGAGGCAGGGCAGGAGGGGGCGGAGGGGGAGGAGGGAGGAGGAGGAGGAGGAGGAGGGGGGCGTGATACAGGGGATCAACCATGGGTTATATGGGGAGGGCGCGCGGCTGAAGCTGATGCAGGTTTGGGATTTCCCGGATAAGGAGACGGGGGAGCCGAGGCTTCCGTATGGGCTCAATTTTGGAGGTGGGTTTTGAAACATGTCAAGACCAGATTAGCAGTGGTTTGTATGGGGAGGGCGTGCGGCTGAAGCTGATGCAGGTTTGGGACTTCCCGGGTAAGGAGACCGGGGAGCCGAGGCTTCCCTATGGACTCAACTTCGGAGGTGGGCTCTTTGGTGGCATGATGATTCTGATGATGGTACTAACGTACACCAGACTTGCTTGTCCGTATGAGCCCCTGTTTACGGCGCCAAGCCTTCATCCTGCCTTCCCCATTTCTCTTGTGCCCGTCTTTGAGGCGCCTCAAAAATAGTGCCCATCGCACCACGCATACACATGCCAACACTGCATGCACTGCACACACATACACATGCCAACACTGCATGCACACACATACACATGCCAACACTGCATGCACACACATACACATGCCAACACTGCATGCACACGCATACACATGCCAACACTGCATGCACACACATACACATGCCAACACTGCATGCACACACATACACATGCCAACACTGCATGCACACGCATACACATGCCAACACTGCATGCACACGCATACACATGCCAACACTGCATGCACACACATACACATGCCAACACTGCATGCACACACATACACATGCCAACACTGCATGCACACACATACACATGCCAACACTGCATGCACACACATACACATGCCAACACTGCATGCACACACATACACATGCCAACACTGCATGCACACACATACACACGCGCCATGGCAGTGGGGGCGAACTACGAGGTGAATCCGAGAGAACTACGAGGTGAATCCAAGTGGTGTTCTCACTGCATGCACACACATACACATGCCAACACTGCATGCACACACATACACACGCGCCATGGCAGTGGGGGCGAACTACGAGGTGAATGGGAGCCGCCTGGAGCCCAAGCTGCGTATCCGAACTCCCCATGTAGCCCTGCATCTGCTTCCCGAACCTGACATTGAGCTTCGGGGGAAATGGAGGCTCGGCACCACCAACGTTGCCCTTGATGTTCGATACACGTGAGTGTGTGCATTGTTGGATACCGCTTTATGTACACTTCTACGTATTACTCGATATTTCTATATATTGCTCAAAATCTATATGTATTCTTTATTTTACTGTATACTTCGTTGTGCTACTGTTTTCGTCCAACACTGCATGTAGCTGCTCCCATAATCCCACATACACTTTGACATCCCTAGTCATGCCCCACATTCCCTCGGATCTCATACCCTCACAGCATGCCCCTTCGTTCCCTCAACCGCTTTTGGGACTGGGCAGCTGGAGTGGGGCTCTCAGTGAACCCCTTCCACCCCTGAGCTAGCACATCTAAAGATTGTGCCCCGTTAATTACTCTCTCCCCCTATGCTCCCTGTTACTGCTCCCCCACCCATGCAGCATGCCCCTGCGCTCCCTCAACCGCTTCTGGGACCGGGCAGCGGGAGTGGGGCTGTCAGTGAACCTCTTCAACCCCATCGGCACGGGCTTCCATCTCTCCCCTGGCGGTACGTCTTGTTTTGGAGGCGCCTAAAAAATAGACTCTTCAACCCCATCAGCACAGGCTTCCATCTCTCCCCGGTACGTCTTGTTTTTGAGGCGCCTAAAAAATAGGCTCTTCAACCCCATCGGCACGGGCTTCCATCTCTCCCCTGGCGGTACGTCTTGTTTTGGAGGCGCCTCAAAAATAGACTCTTCAACCCCATCGGCACGGGCTTCCATCTCTCCCCTGGTGGTACGTCTTGTTTTTGAGGCGCCTCAAAAATAGACTCTTCAACCCCATCGGCACGGGCTTCCATCTCTCCCCTGGCGGTACGTCTTGTTTTTGAGGCACCTCAAAAATAGACTCTTCAACCCCATCGGCACGGGCTTCCATCTCTCCCCTGGCGGCACGTCTTGTTTTTGAGGCGCCTAAAAAATAGACTCTTCAACCCCATCGGCACGGGCTTCCATCTCTCCCCTGGTGGTATGTCTTGATCCGTTCCAATGCATCCCATACATCCGTTTCACTGCATCCCATACATCCGTTCCACTGCATCCCATACATCCGTTCCAATGCATCCCATACATCCGTTCCAATGCATCCCATACATCCGTTCGACTGCATCCCATACATCCGTTCCACTGCATCCCATACATCCGTTCCACTGCATCCCATACATCCGTTCCAATGCATCCCATACATCCGTTCCACTGCATCCCATACATCCGTTCCACTGCATCCCATACATCCGTTCTCTTCACAGCCAGAAGTGACTTTGAGTCGACTCAAAAGTCGTCAGGAGACGGTCCACTGCATCTCATATATCCATTTTCTTCACATCCAGAGGCTGGAATGTCATAAGAGGACACCTCCCACTGCGCCTCTTCAGCCCCAGGCTTATTATGATTCTCAGTAAACTATCACAGACCCAGAGGCACCGGCTTCTGTCCTTCCCCCAGCGGTAAGTCTCGTGTTTCTTTCTTGAAACTCCAACCCCATAAGGACCGGCCTCCATCTCCCTCCAAGCACTACTTGTTCTTTGGTGTGGCTGCGGACCGTGCGGCTTAGCTTGGATTCTGAGTGTCAGCTTCCCCTCCCTGGGCTGCAGAGGGGAATGTGTGCTTCTTTCTCTACCTTTACCTCACTAGATTTTATTCCCCCCATCAGGTCACCTCCGTGTGTCACATTTCGTTGTTCCTTTTCCGTCGGCTGCAGGTTTGGAGTTTGACGAGCAGGTGGTTCGGCTAGGCAAGCACACGAAGCTTCGTCTGGCTGCAACGTTTATGTTTCCAAAGCACCTGCCATTGGAGGAGGACGAGGATCCAATCCGGGTGCGCGTCAACCGTTTAGGAATCAAGACCCGGTTAGCATGAAGAAATTTGATTGATTAGGAAGGTTTTAAGTGCATAGGCCAAGTGCAGTTCCGCAGAGAGCCTTCTGTTAGTGCCTGAGTTGTGGATTCTACCGAGTGTACGAGAAAGCCTGATAACTGGCAATAACGCGGATGCGTAATAGAGAGTACGGGTCGAAGAAATTTCGGTGCCAGACCTGACCATCTCGCGCACGTCCGCCTGTCAGCTCAGCATTTCGCTGGCGGGAAGACAAAAAGGGAACCTGGATTCGCCATGTGCAGTTGAGGAAGCTGACCAATCGCAAGAATGTTTAGTTTTTTCGGGTAGCAACACGCAAAAGTTCGAGAGCATGGGCTCTCGAATCTCGTTCAAGGTTTCTTGAGTACTTGCTGATCAGGCACACTGGGAAAGCCCATGCCTCCCTGATCAGCAAGTACTCAAGAAACCCAAAGATCTGTTCGAGAATACCAAAAACCCAAGTCACAACTACAAGTCAGTCAGGAATTCGGCTAGGTTAGAGATCCATGTCCGGTCAATCTTGCAGTTCAGCCGGAAATCACGGGAGCGTAAGAAACGATCTGTAGCATTACGACAAAACATTCATACTCTGTCGTCAAGTTTCGTCTTGAACGAAGCGGAAGCGTGGCTCTCCGTCTGACCGTCTGCAAGCTTTGCCATGCTCGGTCTAAGATCGTACCAAATCTCTTCATTCAATCGTATCTCAGCAGATCAGATCTCTTATCTCAGTATCTTATCTCAACCAGTAACATTCCGCCATGTCGGGTCGCAGCAAATTCACGAGCGTCAATCTCAACAGCTCCTTCGGGAGGCAAAGCCCCTCCCACTCCCACTCCGGCCCCGGCCAAACCACAGCCGCCGGATCCAGATTCGGACGGTCAGGATCATTCGGAAGCATGATGGTGCTGGGGAAGGTCGCAACTCCCGGAGCGTCCGCGGGTAGCAAGAGCGGGAAGCTGGTGGTGCCGAAGCCAGTCAACCTGCCGTCGCTGCGACGAGAGCACGCGGGGAACGATCCGTCCGTCTCGCTCGTTCCCGCCAGCAGTACGGTAGTATCGGGATGGCAGAGACCCGGGGGGGGGAAGCCGCACGGGGAAGGGACGCACGCGGCGGAGCAGACACTATCAGCAGCAGCATCAGCAGCAGCATCAGCAGCAGCAGCGGTTTCAGCAGTAGCAGCGGGGGAAGCATCGGCTCGCGCGTCCGGTGCGACTCACGAGGCCAGGCGTTGCGTGTCGCTCTCCCCGCCTCCTCAAGGCTACGCCTTTCTGGCCAATTCAGCAGCAGCTGCCGCGGCACCGGCGGCGGCAGTTGCAGCGGCGTCAGTAGGCGAGCCGAATCGCGCCCCCTCGGCGCACCGACCAGGGGTGTACCAACCGCCGGGCTCGCGCGGCGGCAGCAGTGCCACGTCAGCCTCCACGTCAGCTGTCACGAACGCGGGAAACGCCGGCGTTGTCTTGCGCGGGGAAGATTTTCCCTCACTGGATGACGCAGCAAAGAAGCAAGCGTCGACTAGCAGTGCTGTACCAAGCGTCGGACGCGGTAAGGAGCACCCTGGCAAGAAGAAGACCAAGGCATTAGAGGCTAATAGCGGGGATGAGCTGGCGCGATTGGCGCAGGAGCAGGGTGGAGGGGACGAGGCAGGTCGGGCGACGGAAAGGCCGCAGGGTAGCGATGCGACGACGAAACGGGTTACCAGTGGGCGATGGGGAGACGAAGAATCGGATCAGGAGCTGAACGAGCGAGATCCCCTGTCCGGATCTCAATCTAACAAGGCGCCAGATTTTATTTCCAGAGACCAAGGCAGCGAGGCATCTGGCGATCCCGGTGCCTACGGTGCGGACAGATCTGACAGACATCCCCGTTATAAGGAGAACGAGAGGCCGAGGAGGCCTGGAGAGGGCATGGGTCCGCCGAACCAGTTTGGCCCGCCACCCGGGGGAGGCTTCCGCCGACCTTCCCCTCCGCGCAGAGCATGGGCGGACGATGAGCGGGACCTTGCGCCACCCCACCCTCCCCATCCCCCCCATTTCGCGCATGGGGGTAGGGGGCCATTTCCGCACAGATTCGACGGTCCCAGGGGTCACTTCGACGCTAACGGGTTTCCCATGGGTGGTGAACCGGGAGGGTTTCATAACGGATGGGACTCTAGAGAGGGGTTTCATTCTAGAGAAGGCTTTCGGGAGTATCCTGGTCCGAGGAATGGGGCCACGGAATGGCAGGGAGATCCGAGGCCCGGCGAGGCGTTCATGTGGCGAAGGGACGATCCGCACGGGTGGGAGGGACGGCCGCCTGCAGGACGAGGGAGGGGAGGGCCGGGGCCAGGACCGCCAGGCGCACTAGGGCCCCCTGGACCGCCAGATATGCGAGGGCCACCAGGCGCACCCGAGATGAGAGGGCAACCAGGGCAACCAGGACCGGCAGGGATGCCATTCCCGGGTGAGTTTGAGCGCTATGGGCCCATGGGGGACCCGGGGAGAGGCAGAGGCGGTGGTGGTGGCGGGTATGGTCCCAGGGGGGAGTTTCCCAGGGGTTTTGCGCCCGGGCAGGGTTTTGGCCCCGGGCAGGGGTTTAGGCCCAGTAGGGAGGGCGGAGGGAGGGGCGTGGGGCCGGACGTTTTTTCCGGTGGCCCGCGGATGGAGCTGCAGTCTCTGCCGCGCGTGGGGGTGGAGCCTCCGCCTAGTTTTGGGCTTGGTGCTCTGGGGCTGGTGAGGAGGAAGAAAGCGGAGGGAGAGGGGGGTGGGTCGGAGTTTCGTGACTTGGAAAGGGAGCGGTTTGAAGAGGAGTTGGAGAAGTTGCAGATGCAGAAGGATAGGGAGAGAGTGAGGAAGGAGGAGGAGGAGCAGCGGGCGGCAGAGTTTGCGAGGCAGCAGGAGGAAGAGGCGATGCGGAGGGGGAGAGAGGAGGAGGAGGCGAGGCGTAGGGCGGAGGAAGTGGAGAGAGAAGCCGCGCAGAGGGCGGCTATGGAAGTGGAAGAGGCGGTGAGGAGGGTAGAGGAGGAGAGGAGGAGAGTGCAGGAGGAGAAGAGGAGGATTCTGGAGGAGGAGGAGAGGAGGAAGGAGAATGCGCGGAGGAAGTTGGAGGAGCTGGAGGAGAGGATAGCGAGGAGGAAGGCGGAGGAGGAGGAGAGGAGGAAGAGGGAGGAGGCAGGCGGAGCGGAGGGGCAAGGGGGGGCGTTGAGTGAGGGTGGGCAGGGGCAGCAAGGTGAGGCGTCGCAGGGTGTTGTGGAACGGAGTGTGGCGTTGGGGCAGGGACCAGGAAATGAGGGGAACGGGCAGCTGCAGGGGCAGGGGCAGGGGCAGGTAGTGGATGGCTGGGAAGGCGCGGAGAGGAATGAGGGAGGGTATTTGCCAGGGGAGGTAGGGTCTAACGAGCAGAATCCAAGTGGAGAGGTAGTTGGAGGTCATTCAAACGCGCAGGGAAGCGAAGTGGAGGAAAGACGGACTTCTATGGGGAATGGGTCAGCGCAGGAGCAGGCTGCTGGGGATGGCAGCAGCACCCAAGTAGCTTCTGAGCCGACTGAAAAGGCTGCTGGTCGGGAGGATGACAGAGCCCAAGAGATTCCAAAGTCGGACGAGCAGTGTGAGATTCTTGCTGGCATGGCAGAAGGTGCCCCCACATGGGTAGATGGCACGGAGGTCCCTGGTGAGAGCAAGACAGTGAGAGACGAAGGGGAAGGCGTGGTTGGGAAGAGCGTGCTAGGGAAGATGGGCCAGGTCGAGGGGGAGAAAGGTAGCGAATTTCAAGTGAACCGTCAGAAGCAGGAGCAGGAGGAGCAGGAGCAGCAGCAGGAGCAGCAGGAGGAGCAGCAGCAGCAGGCTGGGCTTTCCCATGATAAGGCCGGGTCCACTGTAGGGGGCCCTATTGCTGCCTCCTCCCCTTCCCCGCCCCTTGATCGCACGCGTCTGGGGGAGAGGCAGCAAGCCAACCACACCAGTAACCAGAGCCTCTATGACCCTAGCGCAGAGGGGCCGGGGTTAGGGATTTCCCAGGGTTTTTCTCACTGGAGCCAGCAGCAGCAACAGCAGCAGCATCACCAGCACCAGCACCACCACCAGCAGCAACACCAGCAGCAACAGCAGCAACAGCACCAGCAACAGCAACACCAGCAATACCAGCAACAGCAGCAACAGCAACAGCACCAGCAACAGCAGCAGCAACACCAGATGCAGGGGCAGTCGATTCCGCCTTACGGATTCCCCAGCCCAGGTCCTCTCTTGCGCGCCCATCAGTTCGCCCCACCTTACCCTCACTTCCCTGTAATGCAGCAGCATCTAGGGACCATGCACCCCCACCCCTTCCAGCCGTTGCCAGGGCACCAGCACCAGCAGCAGCCGCCGTTGCTGCACCGACCACCCGGGCTGGGTCCTGGGCTCTTAACCCATGGGGATGCGAGCCACGGCTTTGCTACATATACTGGCCACGTGCCGGCGGTGGGGGCAGTGGGGGCAGCCGCATCAGGAGGAGCAGGAGGAGGAGGAGGAATAGCAGGAGGAGCAGGAGGAGGTGGGGAGAGCGGTGGTGTGGCAGGGGGCAGGGCGGGGTACCAGAGAATGGAGCAGTTTGGTGGGAGAGAGGTGGGCGGCAGGGAAGGACCCACTGCGGCGTTTGATAAGTCGGTGGGCGCAGCAGGGGGCAGTCAGGGGCGGAAACAGTTCAGGGGAGTGGGGGATGCGGGAGGGCAGGGGGGACTGACGGGGCAAGGGGGAGCGCAGAGCGTTGGGGGCCGCCAACAGCAGGAGAGGAGGAGGGCGGATGGGAGGGGTGGAGAGAGGGAGCAAGGGAGAGCGGAGGGGATGGGACAAGAGCAAGGGGTTGGGGTTCTGGGTACAAGGGATGCGGTAGTGGACAGAAATGAAGGGTTGATTGGCGGTGGTAGTGGGGCGATGGGGAATGGTGGTGGAGTGGTGGTGAGGGAGAGAAGATGGGGGCAATCTGGGGAGTACTTAGACTGGAGAAGGATTGGGCCTGATGCTGCATCGAGTATTTTCCTCGGGCAGGCCGGGCAGCCTGGAATGCAGCAGTGGCAGGGGCGGCCTGGGTTCGGGCAGGAGGAAAATTCTGGTGGTCCAGAACGGGCAGAAGGGCGAAGCTGGGCAGTGAATGGGATGGGGGGGGGGCACGGGCAGGACAGGAGGGGAGTTGGGGAGATGGGGCAGCAAATAGGCAATCTAGGGTTGCAGGAGGGGAAAGGTGAGGGCGAGGGAAGAGGAGAGGGGAGGGAAAGGGGCGTGACTGGAGCACTGGGAGAGATGGGAGGGGGGGTGGCGGGAGCATTAGGACCAGAGGAGTCAGAGATGAGTGAGTCCGAGAGCCTGCCTGCAGATGTGGTGAATGAGCTGGGGGCCCTGCTGTCGGATCGAGAAGAGGGGGGCATGTCGGACAGAGAAGAGGGAGCGACGGGGAATCAGGAGAGAGCGGTGATGGTAGGTAGGGAAGGGTTGGATTCGGCTGAAAGAGGAGGAGTGGTGGGTGCTGATAAGGAGGAGGTGGGGGTGGAGGAGAAGCGGCTTGCAGTGAGAGCCGAGGAGAAGGGAAGTGTGGTGGAGAATGGCGAGGCTGTGGTGAAAGATGCCGGCACTGGTGCAGCAGAAACAGGCAGCATAGACTCACAGGGCGCACGTGCCTCTGTCGCGCCTTCAGCTCTCTCTGCTGCTGCGCCTTCAGCTTTCCCTCCTGCTGTGACTTCTGCTGCTGCAGCATCTGCTGATAGTGCTCCGTCCAAGCCGTTCCTTCCCGCCCTGCTGCGCACCTCTGGAGCCCCTTTTGTCATTCAAATCGGCTCCGTGCCTCTCACTGTTGGTGGGGCAGCCCAGCCATCCGGGCAGAACGAAAGTTTTGGAGCGTCCCCGTTGCCAATGTTTCAGTTCGGGCAGATCGGGGTTCAGGCATCAATGTTGCATCCTGTGCCCCCTGCTGGCCAGGGCCCAGAGTGTGCCACACAACCGAACCAGCAGCAGGAGTTACCGAAGCAGCATCAGCAACCACCAAACCACCAGCAGCAGCTTCCGAACCAGCCCTCGATGGTGTTAGAACCGCACCAGCAGCAGCAGCAGCAGCAGCAGAAGAAGAAGGGCGCGGCAGCACCAGGTCAGGTACCTTCAAAAGAATCAATTGTGCAAAGGGTGGTCTCTCAAGAGCCGTTGCTGCCGCTTCCAGTATCAATGCCCCCCCCGGTGGGTGCCCAGCCGCCTGCTGTGGGGGGGAGAGAAGCGCTGGAGCAGAGGGACGGTGCAGGTTCAGGCGCGCGGCTTGTTGAACGGGGACAAGTGTTGGGCCGAGGGGGGCCGTGCAGAGGAGGGGCAGGGAGCAAGTGAGGCAGGGAGGGCAAGAGGAAGGAAGCATGCCTGGGCTGGCTAAAGCAGCAGCTGCTGCTTCTTCTGCAGGATCAGCGATAGGGGCGCCAGCTGTAGGGGCGCCAGCAGTAGGGGTGATCAGTGGGAGGGGGGCACGGGGTGGTCGCACAGGGGGGCAGGCACAGGCATTGCCAGCCAGGGGCCGGGGGAGAGGCAGGGACGCGGTTACCACCCCATCTGTGCCGGGAATGCCTGCTAGGCCCGGACCTGCAGCCTCGGCTGTTGGAGCGGTAAGTGGCTCGGGAGCTGGCTCGATGGCAGGTGCGGCAGCTGGTCTGGTGTCAGGTTCGGCGGTAGCTTCGGGGGGTGGTTCGGGAGCAGGCACGACTCCAGCTTGGTTTGTGGCTCAGGGTTTAAGGCTTACTGAGGCGAGAATTGGAGGGGTTTCGGAGGGGACAGGTGAAGGGTATTCAGAGATTAGGGGTAGTGATGGTGTAGTGGTGAGGACGAGGATTGGGGGGAGAGGGGGAGGCGGAGAGAGGAGGAGGGGCGGTGGAAGAGGGAGAGGGGGGAATGCGGTGGAAGGGCCGGCAGGAGAGAGGGGTGGGAAGAGTGAGGGTGTGGGGAGGGGAGTGGCGGTGCAGGGTGATCGAAAGGGCGTGGCGACAGCTGGTGGTTTGCAGGAGAAGCAGATAACACGGGGAGCAACAGGGGGTGAAGCAACAGGGGGCGGAGCAACAGGGGGCGGAGCAACAGGGGGCGGAGCAACAGGGGGGGATAAGGACGGCACGGGATTGAGTGCTGGAGTGGAGGAGCCTAAGCAGGGGACTTTGGTTAACGCTTGTGAGTCAAGGCGAGATGTGAGTCAAGAGGTTGGAAAGACTGACGTGGTTAGAGTAGTGGAAAAGACGGATGTAGCAAAAGCGGATGTAGCAGAGGCGGGTGCCATAGGCATGGCAGTTGCACAGGAGAAACAGAGGGATGCGGGTGGCCATGCTGGCGGTGCTGATGCTGTTGCTGGTGCTGAAGGTTGGCTGCTGCAGCAAGGGTCTGCTCCAGGTGAAACGGAGGATCTGGCAGGTGGGGAGAGTGGCGTGGCGTCAGGTGCTTTTGCAGGTGCTTCTTCAGGTGCTTTTGCAGGTGGCTCGGACAGTGGCGTGTCGGAGGCAGAGGCTGCTTACGAGAGTGCTGATGCCACGAGCACTGGCTCGGAGCACGAGGAGGTGGAGTCAAAGATGGGAGCACAGATGGAGGAGGAGAAAGTGGAGGAGAAGGAGGAGGAGAAAGTGGAGGAGAAAGCGGAGGAGAAGGGAGGGCAGCTGCATGTGAAGCAGGAGCAGGAGGGTGACGAGGAGCCGCAGCAGGGGCAGGAAGAGGAAGGGCAGGAGCGCGGGCAGGAAGAGAAAGGGCAGGAGCGCGGGCAGGAAGAGAAAGGGCAGGAGGATGCCGTGGACACACGCATGCAACCCGCACGAGGAGAGAGGGTGCCGCAACGTGAGGCACAAAAGGCCAGTGCTTCCGAGAAGAAGCAGCAGGCGCAGCAGCAGCAGCAGCAGTCGAAGCCTGCAGTGAGCCTGCGCCGGCCGTTCTCAATGTTCCCCACGGCCTTCCTCTCCTCCCTGGGGTTCCTCTCAGGCGCGTCCTCCTCCTCCTCATCCTCCTCCCCTTCCTCCACCTCTCCCCGCGTAGGGAAAGCCCCACCTGAAGCGTTGCCGCAGGGGTCCTCTCAGGCTGCCTCTGAGCCACCCTGTGTAGCACCGACTACTGCTTCTGCTGCTGCTGCTGCTGCTGTTTCTGTTGCTGCTTCTGCTGCTGCTGCTGCTGCTGTTACTGCTGCAGGCAGGGATGCTTCGCCCTCGGCAGCTGTAGCAGTAGCTAGTGGGGAAACGGGGTCAGTCATAGATGCGGCTGCTACAACTGCTACGGAGGAAAGCGCAGGCACAGCTGTAGCAGGTTCAAAGCGGAGGGAGAGGAAGGGGAAGGGGGTAGCTACTGCTGCTGCTGCTGCTGCTGGGAAGGAAAGAGCAGGAGGGGGGAGCGGGCAGCAGGGCAGCAAGATAGGTGTAGGGGTAGTGACTGAGGCCACTGAAAGCAGCTCTGGTACTGGCGCTGGGGGTGATGGTAGGAGCAATGAGGGCAGTGGAACGAGTAAAGCTGCTGGGAGCAGCGCAGCTAGTGGGGCCGGCAAGGGCAATGGGAGCAAGGAAGGGTCGGTGAGAGAGGGGCCACGTGTGCCAGCTAGACTCGGCTGGCTGGTGGAAAGGCTAGAGAGCCTGGGGCACTCAGAGGAGGTGCCCCTGGGAGGGGGGATAGTGAAAGTGTTTGAGCAGATAGGGGTGGATCATGAAGAGGAGGAGGGTGGTGGGGGGTTTGTCACTGTGCAGTCGAAGAGGGGGAGGCGGGAGCAGAGGGAGCGGGAGCAAAGGGAGAGGGAACGGGAGGAGAGGGAAAGGGCGAAGGAGAAGGAGAAGGAGAGGGAAAGGGAGAGGGAGCGGGAGAGGGAGCGGGAGAGGGAGAGGGAGCGGGAGGTGAAGGCACGAAAGCGGGAGCAACGTGTGAGTACCCTAGTCTTTGAAACACATGCATATCGTGCATTCTCATATGGTGTGCGTGCATTCTCATCCATATATGGTGAGCGTGCATTCTCATATGGTGTGCGTGCATTCTCATATGGTGAGCGTGCATTCTCATATGGTGAGCGTGCATTCTCATATGGTGAGCGTGCATTCTCATATGGTGTGCGTGCATTCTCATATGGTGAGCGTGCATTCTCATATGGTGTGCGTGCATTCTCATATGGTGAGCGTGCATTCTCATATGGTGTGCGTGCATTCTCATATGGTGTGCGTGCATTCTCATATGGTGAGCGTGCATTCTCATATGGTGTGCGTGCATTCTCATATGGTGAGCGTGCATTCTCATATGGTGAGCGTGCATTCTCATATGGTGAGCGTGCATTCTCATATGGTGGTGGCGTGCATTCTCATATGGTGAGCGTGCATTCTCATATGGTGTGCGTGCATTCTCATATGGTGTGCGTGCATTCTCATATGGTGAGCGTGCATTCTCATATGGTGTGCGTGCATTCTCATATGGTGAGCGTGCATTCTCATATGGTGAGCGTGCATTCTCATATGTGCGTGCATTCTCATATGGTGAGCGTGCATTCTCATATGGTGTGCGTGCATTCTCATATGGTGACTATATGCGTGCATTCTCATATGGTGTGCGTGCATTCTCATATGGTGGCGTGCATTCTATGGTGCGTGCATTCTCATATGGTGGTGCGTGCATTCTCATATGGTTTGCGTGCATTCTCATATGGTGTGCGTGCATTCTCATATGGTGAGCGTGCATTCTCATATGGTGTGCGTGCATTCTCATATGGTGAGCGTGCATTCTCATATGGTGAGCGTGCATTCTCATATGGTGAGCGTGCATTCTCATATGGTTTGCGTGCATTCTCATATGGTGTGCGTGCATTCTCATATGGTGAGCGTGCATTCTCATATGGTGTGCGTGCATTCTCATATGGTGTGCGTGCATTCTCATATGGTTTGCGTGCATTCTCATATGGTGTGCGTGCATTCTCATATGGTTGCGTGTTTATTGTGCGTGCATTCTCATATGGTGTGCGTGCATTCTCATATGGTGAGCGTGCATTCTCATATGGTGAGCGTGCATCTCATATGGTGAGCGTGCATTCTCATATGGTGAGCGTGCATTCTCATATGGTGAGCGTGCATTCTCATATGGTGTGCGTGCATTCTCATATGGTGTGCGTGCATTCTCATATGGTGTGCGTGCATTCTCATATGGTGTGCGTGCATTCTCATATGGTGTGCGTGCATTCTCATATGGTGGCGTGCATTCTCATATGGTGTGCGTGCATTCTCATATGGTGTGCGTGCATTCTCATATGGGTGCCGTAGTCGTGCATTCTCATATGGTGTGGCGTGCATTCTCATATGGTGAGCGTGCATTCTCATATGGTGAGCGTGCATTCTCATATGGTGAGCGTGCATTCTCATATGGTGCGTGCATTCTCATATGGTGTGCGTGACCATATGTCTCCATATGGTGAGCGTGCATTCTCATATGGTGTGCGTGCATTCTCATATGGTGTGCGTGCATTCTCATATGGGTGCGGTGTGCGTGCATTCTCATATGGTGTGCGTGCATTCTCATATGGTGAGCGTGCATTCTCATATGGTGTGCGTGCATTCTCATATGGTGTGCGTGCATTCTCATATGGTGTGCGTGCATTCTCATATGGTGTGCGTGCATTCTCATATGGTGTGCGTGCATTCTCATATGGTGTGCGTGCATTCTCATATGGTGGCGTGCATTCTCATATGGTGGTGCGTGCATTCTCATATGGTGTGCGTGCATTCTCATATGGTGTGCGTGCATTCTCATATGGTGTGCGTGCATCTCATATGGTGAGCGTGCCATTCTCATATGGTGAGCGTGCATTCTCATATGGTGAGCGTCATTCTCATATGGTGTGCGTGCATTCTCATATGGTGAGCGTGCATTCTCATATGGTGTGCGTGCATTCTCATATGGTGTGCGTGCATTCTCATATGGTGTTGCGTGCATTCTCATATGGTGTGCGTGCATTCTCATATGGTGTGCGTGCATTCTCATATGGTGTGCGTGCATTCTCATATGGTGTGCGTGCATTCTCATATGGTGTGCGTGCATTCTCATATGGTGGCGTGCATTCTCATATGGTGTGCGTGCATTCTCATATGGTGAGCGTGCATTCTCATATGGTGTGCGTGCATTCTCATATGGTGTGTGCCTAGGTGCGTGCATTCTCATATGGTGTGCGTGCATTCTCATATGGTTGGCGTGCATTCTCATATGGTGTGCGTGCATTCTCATATGGTGTGCGTGCATTCTCATATGGTGTGCGTGCATTCTCATATGGTTGCGTGCATTCTCATATGGTGTGCGTGCATTCTCATATGGTGCGTGCATTCTCATATGGTGTGCGTGCATTCTCATATGGTGAGCGTGCATTCTCATATGGTGAGCGTGCATTCTCATATGGTGAGCGTGCATTCTCATATGGTGTGCGTGGCAATTCTCATATGGTGTGCGTGCATTCTTTGGTTCTGCATTCTCATATGGTGTCGTGCATTCTCATATGGTGTGCGTGCATTCTCATTATGGTTGCGTGCATTCTCATATGGTTGCGTGCATTCTCATATGGTGTGCGTGCATTCTCTATGGTGGCGTGCATTCTCATATGGTTGCGTCATTCTCATATGGTGTGCGTCATTCTCATATGGTGTGCGTGCATTCTCATATGGTGAGCGTGCATTCTCATATGGTGTGCTTTTGGCGTGCATTCTCATATGGTGTGCGTGCATTCTCATATGGTGAGCGTGCATTCTCATATGGTGTGCGTGCATTCTCATATGGTGAGCGTGCATTCTCATATGGTGTGCGTGCATTCTCATATGGTGTGCGTGCATTCTCATATGCGTGCTATGCGTGCAATTGCTCTATATGGTGTGCGTGCATTCTCATATGGTGTGCGTGCATTCTCATATGGTGTGCGTGCATTCTCATATGGTGCGTGCATTCTCATATGGTGTGCGTGCATTTCTCATATTGGTGTGCGTGCATTCTCATATGGTGTGCGTGCATTCTCATATGGTTGCGTGCATTCTCATATGGTGTGCGTGCATTCTCATATGGTGATTGTGCATTCTCATATGGTGTGCGTGCTTCTCATATGTGCGTGCATTCTCATATGGTGTGCGTGCATTCTCATATGGTGAGCGTGCATTCTCATATGGTGTGCGTGCATTCTCATATGGTGAGCGTGCATTCTCATTGTGTGCTGTCTCATATGGTGAGCGTGCATTCTCATATGGTGAGCGTGCATTTCTCATATGTGAGGTGATTCCAATGTGTGCGTGCATTCTCATATGGTGAGCGTGCATTCTCATATGGTGTGCGTGCATTCTCATATGGTGTGGCGTGCATTCTCATATGGTTTGCGTGCATTCTCATATGGTGTGCGTGCCTCATATGGTGTCGTGCATCCATATGGTGTGCGTGCATTCTCATATGGTGTGCGTGCATTCTCATATGGTGTGCGTGCATTCTCATATGGTGTGCGTGCATTCTCATATGGTGTGCGTGCATTCTCATATGGTGAGCGTGCATTCTCATATGGTGTGCGTGCATTCTCATATGGGTGAGCGTGCATTCTCATATGGTGTGCGTGGCATTCTCATATGGGTGAGCGTGCATTCTCATATGGTGTGCGTGCATTCTCATATGGTGTGCGTGCATTCTCATATGGTGTGCGTGCATTCTCATATGGTGTGCGTGGCATTCTCATATGGTTGTTGCGTGCATTCTCATATGGTGTGCGTGCATTCTCATATGGTGTGCGTGCATTCTCATATGTGTGAGCGTGCATTCTCATATGGGGTGCGGTGCGTGCATTCTCATATGGTGTGCGTGCATTCTCATATGGTGGAGCGTGCATTCTCATATGGTGAGCGTGCATTCTCATATGGTGTGGCGTGCATTCTCATATGGTGAGCGTGCATTCTCATATGGTGTGCGTGCATTCTCATATGGTGTGATTTATGCGTGCGGCATTCTCATATTGTGTTTTTTGCGTGCATTCTCATATGGTGTGCGTGCCATTCTCATATGGTGTGCCGTGCGTATTCTCATATGGTGTGCGTGCATTCTCATATGGTTGTGCGTGCATTCTCATATGGTGGTGCGTGCATTCTTCATATGGTGTGCGTGCATTCTCATATGGTGTGCGTGCATTCTCATATGGATTTTGGTGTGCGTGGCATTCTCATATGGTGTGCGTGCATTCTCATATGGTGTGCGTGCATTCTCATATGGTGTGCGTGCATTCAATGGTGTGGGTCTCATATGGTGTGCGTGCATTCTCATATGGTGTGCGTGCATTCTCATATGGTGTGCGTGCATTCTCATATGGTGAGCGTGCATTCTCATATGGTGTGCGTGCATTCTCATATGGTGAGCGTGCATTCTCATATGGTGTGCGTGCATTCTCATATGGTGAGCGTGCATTTCTCATATGGTGTGCGTGCATTCTCATATGGTGAGCGTGCATTCTCATATGGTGTGCGTGCATTCTCATATGGGTGTGCGTGCATTCTCATATGGTGTGCGTGCATTCTCATATGGTGTGCGTGCATTCTCATATGGTGTGCGTGCATTCTCATATGGTGTGCGTGCATTCTCATATGGTGTGCGTGCATTCTCATATGGGTGAGCGTGCATTCTCATATGGTGAGCGTGCATTCTTCATATGGTGTGCGTGCCATTCTCATATGGTGAGCGTGCATTCTCATATGGTGTGCGTGCATTCTCATATGGTGAGCGTGCATTCTCATATGGTTGCGTGCATTCTCATATGGTGTGCGTGCATTCTCATATGGTGTGCGTGCATTCTCATATGGTGTGCGTGCATTCTCATATGGTGTGCGTGCATTCTCATATGGTGTGTGCGTGCATTCTCATATGGTCGTGCTCATATGTTGCGTGCATTGCGTGGGCATTCTCATATGTGTGGTGCATTCTCATATGGTGTGCGTGCATTCTCATATGGTGTGCGTGCATTCTCATATTGCGTCATTCTCATATGGTGTGCGTGCATTCTCATATGGTGTGCGTGCATTCTCATATGGTGTGCGTGCATTCTCATATGGTGAGCGTGCATTCTCATATGGTGTGCGTGCATTCTCATATGGTGAGCGTGCATTCTCATCATGGTGTGCGTGCATTCTCATATGGTGTGCGTGCCATTCTCATATGGTGTGCGTGCATTCTCATATGGTGAGCGTGCATTCTCATATGGTGTGCGTGCATTCTCATATGGTGAGCGTGCATTCTCATATGGTGAGCGTGCATTCTCATATGGTGAGCGTGCATTCTCATATGGTGTGCGTGCATTCTCATATGGTGTTGAGCGTGCATTCTCATATGGTGTGCGTGCATTCTCATATGGTGTGCGTGCATTCTCATATGGTGGCGTGCATTCTCATATGGTGTGCGTGCATTCTCATATGGTGTGCGTGCATTCTCATATGGTGTGCGTGCATTCTCATATGGTGTGCGTGCATTCTCATATGGTGTGCGTGCATTCTCATATGGTGTGCGTGCATTCTCATATGGTGTGCGTGCATTCTCATATGGTGTGCGTGCATTCTCATATGGTGAGCGTGCATTCTCATATGGTGTGCGTGCATTCTCATATGGTGAGCGTGCATTCTCATATGGTGTGCGTGCATTCTCATATGGTGTTGCGTGCATTCTCATATGGTGTTGCGTGCATTCTCATATGGTGTGCGTGCATTCTCATATGGTGTGCGTGCATTCTCATATGGTGTGCGTGCATTCTCATATGGTGTGCGTGCATTCTCATATGGTGTGCGTGCATTCTCATATGGTGTGCGTGCATTCTCATATGGTGTGCGTGCATTCTCATATGGTGTGCGTGCATTCTCATATGGTGGTGGCGTGCATTCTCATATGGTGTGCGTGCATTCTCATATGGTGTGCGTGCATTCTCATATGGTGTGCGTGCATTCTCATATGGTGTGCGTGCATTCTCATATGGTGTGCGTGCATTCTCATATGGTGTGCGTGCATTCTCATATGGTGAGCATGCATTCTCATATGATGTGCGTGCTTCACTTAGGACTGCCCCTTGATTTGTTGATTCCCTGCCTGTTTGCCTCGCCTTCCCCCGGGATATGTAACTTCTGTTTCCTGTTTTTTCCCATATTTTTTCTTTCTTTCTTTCTTTTCTTTTCTTTTCTTCTTCTTCTTCTTTTTCCCTATGTTTTTCATTCAGATGAAGGAGCAGCAGGAGCAGCAACAGAGGCGCAAGCACGCCGCTCATGCGAACACTATTGGCGCCAGCGTAACCCTCCCTGTGACAACGGCTGTTACGGCATCTACTACTACTCCAGTCACGGCTCCCGACGCTGGTGGTGTCAAGCAAGTAAGCCCTCATTTGCAGGATTTGCAGGCCTCGGTTGTGCAGGGTGTTTTTTAGAATTCTCAAAAACGCCCTGAGAATTCTCAAAAACACTGGTGGTGTCAAGCTTGTAAGCCCTCATGTGCAAGATTTTCAGACCACGGTTACAACATGCTTTATTCTTCGGCTTGGCCGTGGACTTGGACACCTGTGTGTGAGTCGACTTATGCTAGCAAGTACGGCCTGGCCTGTCTTCATTTGTCACCTGTGTGCCAGCTTTGATTGGTTGCTCGGCAGATGACGAGCACAGCAACTGAGAAACCGAGCAAAGCAACTAGCTTTCTCAAGCAAGTAACTGAGAAACCAATCTGTGCGCTAGCCTTGATTGGTTTCTCAGTTGCTGTGGCTTGCGTCTGCACCCTCATCCCTAGCAACCCAGTAAAAACGTTTCCCCCCCCCCCCGCCTTTTTTCTCCCCGGTTTTAGAGACGAATCCTTCTTTCCACTGCCCTCCTACCAATTTATACACCTCTCTCTTTTTTTCGTCAGCAGATCCTCGCTCCTATTCCGGCTCCTACACCTGTGCAATCTTCGCCAGCGTTGCCTTCCACGACAGCATTAGAAGGTATTTTCCTCGCACAACACGTAAGTAGTGCCTCCTACACATAGTGATTTTTGAGTCGACTCAAAAGTCGCCTCCTACACATGCCTTCCTTCTGCGGCTCAAAACTTCACCCCGCAGTAGAAGGCGCTACTCTCTCGTGCATGCTTCCAGCAGCAAGAGGCGTGCCCTTTTCAAGAACTCCGAGCGATGAATTATTTATTGTTTACTACCCAAATGCTGCCTCGCTTTCCTCTGCCCTTTCCAGTATTCCACCCTAAATGTTTTCAAGCTTAAACTACTCACTCTCTGCCCCTTGTGTGCCCTCCCGTCTTGCCATGCTCCCTTACCTATCACATGTTCCCCCTGTCTCGTACCTCAGTTCCCATGTGCGTGAGTAGCAGTGCAGTGCGTGCTGTGGCTGGCAGCGCACACCATACTCCTCCTATGGTTGCGCCAATGGTTGCGCCAATGGTTGCGCCAATGATAGTGGTTTCCTATTCAGCCTCTTCCTGTGCCTTCCTGTGTCACGTGCCTGCTGTTCTTTTCTCCCTCCAGGCCCCATGTGCGTGAGTAGCAGCACAGCGCCGGCTGTGGCAGCAGCACCCACCATACTCGTTACTCCTCCCATGGCTGCGCCTCTGGTTCCGCCCATGGTTGCTCCTGTGGTCGCTCTAATGCAACCCCTGCAGCAGCAGCAGCAGCAACAGCAGCCGCAGCCGCAGCAGCAGCAGCAGCAGCAGCAGCAGGTGCAGCAGGGTGGAACAGAGCAAGGGGAGCAGGGGCAGAGGAAAGGCCAGCAGAAGCAAGGGCGGCAGAGGGGCGGCAGAGGCGGCAAGCAGCGGCAGGAGTGGCGTGCTGCTGGTGTCAGTGGGGGGAGCTCCGACCAGCACCAGCAGCAGCAGCAGCAGCAGCCGCAGCAGCAGGAGCGAAAGGAGCAACAGGGACAGGAGCACAGAGAGCAGCAGCCGGAACCGCAGCCACAGCAGCAGCAGCAGCAGGGGCAGCAGGAGGAGCTACATCAGGGGCAGCAGCAGCAGGCACAGCAGCAGCAGCAGCAGCAGGAGCAGGAGCAGCAGCAGGAGCAGGAGCAAGAGCAGCAGCAGGAGCAGGAGGCACATCAGGCGCAGCCGAATGAAGGGGTTGAAGCAGGTGGGAAGCAGCTGCAGCAGCAGCACGAGCAGCATCAACACCATCAGCAACCGCAGCAGCAGCATGTTGCCTCAGGTGTATATTTCCCTGCAGCAAGTGAAGCACCCCCCCTTGCAGAACCCCCCCTGGAGCCCCCCACCTTGCAGCAGCAGCTGTCCCTTCTGCGCCCGCCCACTTCCCTCACATGCATATGTACCCAGGCATGCTGCAGCATCAAGGCATGCTGGCCTCTCAAGGTATGCTCCCTCATCCGACCATGTCCCCTTTCCCCATGTCCCAGCCACATGCCCTTACACATCCGGCCCATGCCATGCCAACCCACACAATGCCTAACCCTGCCATGCCAAGCCCCATGCCAAGCCATGCCATGCCAGGCCATGCCATGCCAGGGCAAATCATGCACCCTGGGCCCCCCGTCATGATTTTCCCTGCCCCTCCTTTTTTGAGCGGGCAGTTCGGGCAGGTTGGTCAGCCCATACCAGCAGGGATTGGGCAAGGGAGTATGGGGCAGGTAGGAGTGGGACAGGTAGGTATGGGGCAGGTAGGTATGGGGTTTCCTCTGCCGCAGTATGGACAAGGGGGGTATGACTTCAATGCTTCCACCCAAGCACAAACGGGGCAGCAGCAGCAGCAGCAGCAAGGGCAGCAGCAGCAGCAGCAAGGGCAGCAGCTGCTGCTGCAGCAGCCGCAGCAGGGGTTGCTGCAGGAGGGGCAGCAAAGGCCGGAGAAGAAAGAGGAGGGTATTGGAGGGGTAGGGCCCCAGAAGGGCAGGCAAAGGCAGAAGCAGCGGCAGAGGCAGCAGGGGGGCCAGCAGCAGCAGCAGCAGGGAGGGGTGGGTGGAGGAGGCATGCAGTCTCGCTCAAAATTTGAGGGACCTCCGAACACGTCTCACCTGCGATATGAGGCGCCTCCAAGCACGGGTCGATCTCGAGGCGGTGCCGTGCCCCCACCGAGGTTCCAGCAGCAACAGCAGCAGATGCAGCAGCAGATGCAGTTGCGGAACCAGCAGCAGCAGCAGCAGCAGCAGCAGCACCAGGTGCAGCTGCAGAACCGGCATCAGCAAAACGTGCAGACCCAGCAGCAGCAGCAGCAGCATAGGATGCATGATGGGTCTGCAGTGATGGGCGGCAATCAACAGCCACCACAGCCACAGGTAATAGTCCCTGGTGCTGCTGCTTTTTCCGTGTGTAATGAGTCGATCTTTTCCGTGTGTAATGAGTCGATTTTTTCCGTGTGTAATGAGTCGATTTTTTCCGTGTGTAATGAGTCGATTTTTTCCGTGTGTAATGAGTCGATTTTTTCCGTGTGTAATGAGTCAATCTTTTCCGTGTGTAATGAGTCGATTTTTTCCGTGTGTAATGAGTCGATTTTTTCAGTGTGTAACGACTCAAAAATCGACTCATTACAGACGGGTAATAGTCCCTGGGTCTGCTGTTTTTTCTCCATCACAATGTTTGACTCTCTTGGTTGGGCTCTCTGGCGTTCAAATGCCTGGCATGTGCCCCTTGAAGTGTCGGTCTGCGTGTGAGGTGTGTCGGTCTGCATGTGAGGTGTGTCGGTCTGCATGTGAGGTGTGTCGGTCTGCATGTGAGGTGTGTCGGTCTGCATGTGAGGTGTGTCGGTCTGCATGTGAGGTGTGTCGGTCTGCATACCCACTCATCCCATCTCCCCCATCCGCTTCCTTTCCACCAACCCCCTTCCCTGCCCTCCTCTTCCCTTCTCTCGTCTTTCCTGCAGATCCCACAGCAGCAGCAAGCCTTACAGCAGCACCCTTTACAGCAGCCGATGCCTTTCTACTGGCCGCACCTTCCCCAGTTTCCACCTCCTCACGTTAATCCTGCAGCCCCTTTCCCCCCCATGGGTCACTCCCTCCTCCCTTTCGCTCCTCCCACTTTCCTCTCCTCTCAACTCCTCCACCCCACACCAACGCCACAACTGCCCATGCCAATAGCTCCGTCCCTGGTTACCCATACCAGCGCCTCTGGTTCGGCTGCTTCACGTGCCGAACCAGAAGCTGGTATGGCAGGCTCCCGAGCCTCGGAGCTAGGCGTGGAGGAAGGTAGCAGGGGCGGGGGTGAGAAGAGAAAGGAAGGGAGTGAAGACCGGGGCCGCAGACACAATGCACCTGCTGCTGCTGTGGCTGGTAACGAAAGTGCTGCATCTGCAGCAACTGCGGGGGGCAATGCTGTTGCTGCTGCTGCTGCCGCTGCCGCTGCTGCTGCTGCTGCTGATTCGTCTGAAGCGGCCACTTCCACTGGTGCAGCTCCGGCCACCATAGAGGATCATCATTTTCCTGAGTCCCTGGGGGATGGAGACACCACCTTATCCTACCAGCCCCAGCCCCTAGCACCAGCAGCACCACCACCACCAGCACCACTAGCAGCAGCACCACCACTAGCACCACTAGCAGCACCAGCACCACAGGCAGCAGCACAGGCAGCAGCACAGGCAGGAGGAGTAGGGATGCTAACAGCAGGTGGCGTCTCTGTTCCTCCTCCCAGTGTCTACCACGCCCACCTTGGGTCCGTACCTGTAGGGATGGCAGGAGCTATGGCAGGAGGTATGGTGGGGGGTATGGCAGCTTCACAGCAGCATAGCCACAGGTTCGGTGGAGGCTCGGACCAAGGCATGGGCTATTACCAAGGGAGGCCGGGTGCCCCAGGAGGGAACAAGAGGCGGCCCCGCCAACCGCCAAGGCTCACCCGAGCCTCTCCCGGAGGTTCGGGAGGCGATGGCCTGGGTGGTAACCAGCAGGGTGGTGTGGTATCTGCCAATCAGCAAGGGCTTAGCCTACAGGATTTCCCAAGCCAGCAAGGCTTCTCCAGACAGTAAGGGTTCTTTCCCAAGCAGCTTTTGAGTCGACTCAGAAGTCAACCCGCAGGGGTTCCCAAGCCAGCAAGGCTTCTCCAGGCTGTAAGGGTTCTTTCCCAAACAGCTTTTGAGTCTTAAAAGGTGGACTGGTAGAGGGGGGGGAAAGGTAGAGGTAAGGAGGAGAAGGTGGGAGTGCAGGGGAGTGGTTGGTGGGAGTGGTGCGTGGGGGTGGTGGAGGGAGTGGGAGGGGAAAGGGGTTGGAGTGGAGTGGAAGGAGTGGGAGTCAGAGCGGGTAGTAGCGAAGGAAAGCTGCCCAGGTTTGAGTGAGAGAAGTCCCAGGGTTTTCTGTATTCTGCCCGGCTTTCCAATCCAATGCACAACATTTTTGTGTCGGGGAGGGCTTTGGTTTGTTTGGACCTAGGTTTGGAACAGGGTCTTGTTGCTCACGTGCTTGCCTCTTCTTGGGGCTTGGTGTGGTGTGGTGGTGCTATTGTGTGATGCCGAAAGTTGCAACCTCTTTGCTTGGTGTGGACTCAGTAGATTGGGTTTGCTTTGCTTGCATCGGGAACATTTTCTACCCCAGCAGTTCATGAAATGCTACCAGGCTGAAATGTAGGTATCCAAATGTTGTAGTGTACCAGTAAATTGGTAACAGCCACCACACCTCTTGTAAGGAATTTTCTATTCCTTACCGAGCAGTACTGCTATCGCGTACGCTCAAACACACCTGAAGCCTCGTTACGGTTCCGTCCGGACCTTTCTGACACAACCGCCTCGGCTTCTCCGGACCTTCGGAAGTTCTCTGGGCCTCGCTTCGTCACTTCGAGACCCTTCGATCTCTTTCCCGAACCTTCCCATCTCATGGTTAGACTAGCTCTGGTGTTCCTATACATTGGCTTGCCATTCCTTATATCGTCCATCAGTGATTGAACACTTCGTTATTAATTTCCGCGCTACTCTGCTTGTTCATTCATAACACCTCTCTGGAAACAAAGCGGAACTAGACAGGACCTTCTAAGGAGGTTCTCTGTAAGCCAAGGAGTGAGCCTTGTACTACACCGTAGCTGGGTAGATTTTGCATGTTGCAGAAAACAGACGGGAAATACAGGTAGTACCAAGCATATTATGATGAACACAGCCTAGTGTAGGTACTTGGTTAGAAGTAATGAAAAACATGTAAGTAGTGACAGTGTGTGCCATTTATTCCTTCACTGGCTACAGCTCTGTACACTTGGTGCTCTTTACATGGGCAACCACCATTCCAGCATATCAATCAAACCCTGGGCTTTCTAAATCCTCACTCCAATCTCTCACTCCTCCATTTCACCCTCCTCTTCCTCCACTTCCTCTTCCTCCACTTCCTCTTCCTGCACTTCCTCTTCCTCCACTTCCTCTTCCTCCACTTCCTCTTCCTCCACGTCCTATTCCTCCTCTTCCTCCGCTTCCTCCCCTTCCTCTTCCTCCCCTTCCTCTTCCTCCACTTCCTCTTCCTCCAAGTCCTCTTCCTCCTCTTCCTCATCTTCCTCCTCTTCCTCAGCTTCCTCCTCTTTCTCTTCATCCTCTTCATCTTCATCCCCATTCTCCAACCTCTCACACTCTCCCTCCTCTTCTCCCACTCCCCCCCCTCCCTCAATGCACCCCATATACCCCTCCGCTTCTTCCTCCTCCTCCTCCTCCCCCTCATCCTCTTCCTCGCTCCATGTGCCAATCTCCCACACACCACACCCCCGACCCCCACCACCGGCGCCATTCCCACAGATAGCAAGCGCCTCTGCGCGCTTTGCAGTGAGCTGCAGCTGCCGCTTCTGCTCCTCATACGCACTCACCAGAGCCTTCCTCTCCGTCTCGCCTCTCACGCCCCCACACAGCAGATTCAGGCACGGCCCAAAGATGTCAGTACATGCTGATCCGGGACCCTTTCCTCTCCATATGTCTCCCCGTCCTCCACCTCTTCCTCCTCCCCTCCCCCCTCTCCCACTCCCACTCTCTCCTCTCCCACCCCCTCCCCCTCTCCCACTCCTTCCTCCCCCTCTCCCCCCCTTCCTCCGCCTCCTCCTCCCCAACTTTCCGCCCCCCTCCCTCCCCCTTCTCCTCTCCCTCGTCCTCCCCCTCTTGATATCCCTACTGCACGAGGCAAGACAAGGCAGAGCAACAGTCACATGCACAGAACCTTTGAGGTGCCTAAAAACCATCCTCTCCTGTATGTGGCAAGACAGGCAGGACAACAGACACAACGACAAAGAATGATACAGGGGATAGGGATGTTAAGGATAGGCAGACACAGGCCAGGGATATTGGGGATACCAATAAAGGGGATAGAGTTACAGGGGATAGGGATGTGGGGGTGGATACAGGGGAGAGGGGTACGGGGGATATGGATAGAGGGGATGTGGATATGGGGGATAGGGATATGGAGGATAGGGGTATAGGAGATAGGTAGATGGGGGATAGGGATACGGGGGAGGGGGATATCGGGGATAGGTATATCGGTTGGGATACAGGGGTTGGGGATATGGGGGGGATGGAGATGTGGTGGGGGGGAGGGATAGAGAGGATAGGGCTATGGAGGATAGGGATATGGAGGATAGGGATATGGAGGATAAGGATGTTGGGGATAGGGATTCAGGGATTAGGATGAAGGGTCTAGGAATAAATGTATGCTTCCCTGTGTTTGTGACGCATCTGTGCTAGATATATCTATCACGCCAAAAGAAACAATCTTACCTGCTGTGTGCGGCTGTAGCAGGCTGCTGGCTGCCTTTTAAAGTTTGAGGTTTCGGGTTTCGACACTAGAATACACCATAGTACACATTTAAATAAGGGTGAAGTCAAAGCAGGCATGTTTCACCTGCTGTGCGCGGGCGTGGCAGGCTGCTGCTGCTCTGCCTCTCCCGAATGATGCGATCAATGTACGTCTCGTGCTGCAAGGGATGGGTTAGGGTGTTGCGGGCAAGGGATGGGTTAGAGTGTTGCGGGCAAGGGATGGGTTAGAGTGTTGCGGGCAAGGGAGACCAACCAAAGTTCCCTCCCCGCCCCCAGGACCCCTCCCCTCTCACCTTGCGCTTCTCCCCATTGCGTTTCCAGCCCTCGGGGTTCTCCCCCGCCGAACCACCCGCCCCCTTCCCCGAGCTTCGTGCCCCATTCCCCGAGCCTCCTGCCCCATCCCCCGAACCACTCGCCGCACCCCGCAAGCCTGCTGCACGTTCCCCTCCAGCAGAAGCAGCAGCTCCCGTGGCTGCTGCTGCTGCTGCTGCTGCGGCTGCCGCTGCTGCTTGGCTCTGCAGCCTAGCCCGGCTCTGCTGCCTCTCTGCTTGGGTCTGCAGCCTGGCGCGAGCGGAAGAGGCCATCACGAGCGCCAGGCGGGGCGCGACTGACGCCACGGCGCTGATCTCCTCGTCGCGCTGCGTGAAGTCGTCCTTCCCAAGGGACTGGATCGCCACCACCGTCTGCAAGGGGGGAGGGCAGAGCAAAGTGAATGGGGGCGTGGAGGGAAGGGAGCATGGGCACGGGGTGATAAGAGCACGCTGATCTCCTCGTCGCGCTTGGACAAGTCGTCCTTCCCAAGGGACTGAGTCGCCACCACCGTCTGCAGGGGGGGGGTTGGGGGATTGGGTGTTGGGGGGGGTGGGGGATGGAGGATGGGGGGAAAGGGCGTGAGATGAGCATGGGGTGAGAACAGCATGCTGCTCTCCTCGTCCTGCTGGGAGAAGTCGTCCTTCTGCTAGGACTGGGTCGCCACCACTGTGTGGGGGGGAGGGGGGGGGGAGGGGAAAGGGGGATATGGGGGGAAAGGGTGTAAGATGGGCTGCAAATAGCCTGGCCGCTGTCTGGCCACTGCCTGGCCACTTTCTCACCATTGTCTCGCCACTGTCTCACCATTGTCTCGCCACTGTCTCACCACCTCGAAGGCTCGCGTCTCTCTCATGCATACCTCCAAGACACTATAGCCAGAAGGCACCATACCTCGAAGGCGCACTTATCCCTCATCCTACTGTGAGCAGCCACCATCAGTCCTGCCTTCGACCGAGGAAGCTTAAACACCCCTGCCTCTCCCCCCTGGTGTATTCTGAGTCATCATGCAACTGCAGCCATGTCCAACATCCATAAACATACTTCAAAGGGACCATGATTGGAGGACCACATACCTCGAAGGCGCTCTTGTCCCTCATCCTAACGTGAGCCGCCACCATCAGTCCTGCCTTCGATCAAGGAAGCTTAAACACCCCCCCCTCTCCCCTGAGTCGACCCATTCTTAACGAACACCAACATCAACAGACATACCTCCAAGGCGCCATGATTGGAAGGCGCCATGATTGGAAGACGCCATGATTGGAAGGCGCCATGATTGGAGGACCACATACCTCAAAGGCGCACTTGTCCCTCATCCTAACGTGTGCCGCCACCATCAGTCCCGCCTTGGATCGAGGCAGCTTGAACACCCCCTCCGCTCCCCCCTCCCCGTCTCCCTCCCCCCTCCCCGCCCCCCTTTCTCCTTCCCTCCCCCTTCCACGCGCCACAACAACGCCCCCTCTCCCCCTTCCCCCACCTGCTCCCCTTCCCCTCCCTCCGCCCCTCCCCTCAACCGCCTCTTTCTCCAACCCATCATCGGCCACTGCAATTTCCTTCCCTCTGATTTGTGCCGCAGTGCTGGCCTCACCCCTCAACTCCCCCCCCTCCCCTTCCCAACCCACAGCCCCCTTGGACATCACGCCTACACACGCAGCAACAAAGGCAGTTTGCTCCAAATTCCCATAAACCAGCTGTTGCCGCTGCTGCTGCTGCTGCTGCTGCTGCTGCTGCAGCAGCTGCTGCTCCTGCCCCTGCTGCCCCTGCTCACTCCCCCCGTCCCTAGTCACCCTACGGGGGCGTGGGGGCGGGGGGAGGCGTGCCGAACTGCGAATGGTGGCGGTTGAAACAATCAGTCGCAGTCTTGCCAGGCACCCAGAGGGCAACCCTCCCCCAGAAGTTCTCCGAGTCTATTGGCACCTCGTGCATGGCTTCGTGGTAGGCTTTAACTTCCCCTGGCGTCCACCCCATGTGGTCGCGGGGAGGAGAGGGCGCAGGAGGACTTTGAGAGGCGGGGTTTTGAGAGACAAGGGATGGCGAGGGACCCATGGAGCCACCAGAGGGGCACGGGGCGTGTCGAAACGATTCGGAGCGGTTGACAGAGGGAGCGGGGGAGGGTGGGGGAGGTGCCGGGACCAAGGCCAGGCATAGAGGGTTGCGGGACGGGGATGGGGATGGGAGGTGGTGAGCTGAGGAAGGGGGCACGTGGGATGAGGATGGAGGGAGGTGGGATGCGGATGGGGGGCACGTGATGGGGATGGGGGTTTATGCCGAACCTCCTCCACCTCCTCCTCCTTCTCTTCCTCCTCCACCTCCCACCTTTTCCCGACTTCTGGTAATTCCTTAATCGCAATCCCCTTCCCTCTCAGCCTCCGTTTTGCAAGCTCCTCTGCCCCCACCTGTCCCTTTCCTCTCTGGTTTTGAGCCGCCGCAGATCGTAATCTCTCAACCACCTTCCCCTTCCCCCTCAGCCTCCGTTTCTCGAGCTCTTCTTCTGCCAGAACCCGTCCCTGACCCCTCTGCCCCACCTCCTTCCCTCCCCCCACCTCCTTCCCTCCCCCGCCTCCTTCCCTCCCCCCGCCTCCTTCCTTCCCCCCGCCTCCTTCCCCTTCGCCACCTCCTTGTCCTTTTCTTTCCCCTTCCCGTTCCCCTCCAGCCCCTCCTCCCCCCTCCCAACCTCCTCCCCCCTCCCAACCTCCTCCCCCCTCCCAACCTCCTCCCCCTCCCAACCTCCTCCCCCCTCTCAACCCCCTCCCCCTCCCACCGTCCGTCCCCTTCCCCGCATCCCCATCTTCCGTCCCTCCATCCCCTCTCTCTAGCACATCACTACCAGCAGCCTCAGCGCCAACCGCGGATCCTGACTGTCCACTCTCCTCTCGAGCCATCTTAGCCATCAACCTAGTCACCCTCACACTCCCCACTTCCTTCCCCTCCACCTCCTCTCTTTTCCTCTTGAGGCCTTTCGCTCCCCCCTTCGCTTGCCTCTCCCCTTGCTCCATCGCCGCTTCCCCAACCCCAACCAATCCCCCACCCCCTCCCCAACCTTCCCCATTACCCCTGCAGCAGCCGCTCCCCCTCTTTCCGGCTGCCCAGCCGTCCCCTGCCGTCCCTGCTGCCCAGGCCTCGAGGTTCGGCAGATCCGAGCCAGAGCAGCAGCCTTGGCAGCTCTGCCAGGCGCTTTCCTTGCTCCTGCTATCATCACGCCTGCTGTTGCCTCTGGTCCCTCCATCTCGTTCGTTGTAATCACTCTCCGTACAGCGCCCTTTTCCTTTACAGCGTCCTTTCCCTTTACAGCACCCTCCTTTACAGCGCCCTCCTTTACAGCAACCTCCTTTACAGCACCCTCCTTTACAGCACCCTCCTTTACAGCAACCTCCTTTACAGCGCCCTTCTCTATAAGCAGCACAGCAAGAGCTGAAATCTCCTCTTCTCCCTCCCCTCCACCTTCTCCGCTTCCCTCCTCTTCTCTTTCTCCCTCTCCCTCTCCTCCTCGCTCTTGATCCTCCTGCCCTCCTCCCTCCTCTCTTTCCTCCACTTCTTCTCCCCCTCTACCCTCCTCCCTTTCCTCCTCTTCTCCATCCCCTCCTTCCTCCTCTCTCCTACTCTCTACTCCCTCCCCCAATCCTCCCCACTCTTCTCCCCCTCCTCCACTCCTACCTCCTCCCTTCCACCCTCTCCTCCCTCCTCTTCCACCTCCCCTCTTCTCCTATTTTCCTCCTCAGTCAAATCAAACGAAACTTCCGCCTCACGCCCCCCTCCCCCACGCCCCCTCCCCCCACGCCCCCTCCCCCCACGCCCCCTCCCCCACGCCTCCCCCTTCGCCCAGGTGACTTCTGAGTCGATTCAGAAGCCTCTGCGCCCCCCCATCTGTCTCCTCACGCCCCCTCGCCCACGCCTCTTCCTCTTCCTCTTCCGCGTCTCGCCAGCCTCCCTTGCTCTATCGCTCACTGTGTCATTCTCCTCCCCCTCTCCTGCTGAACCCCACCCTCCCGCTCCTCCCCACCTTCCCCCTCCTCCTCGATTCCTCCAGCTCCTTCCCGTCGGTAGCAGTCTGGCCGCCAAACAAGGCTGCAGGGCAGGCAGCAGAGGAGAGCGGGAGGCAGGGTGGGTGGCACAGACTCATTAGAGCAGACAAACAAACTTTCCTGCATTTTCCTGGTTGGGGGGGTAACCACGACTGGGGTAACCAGGATTGGGGTAACCAGGCATGTGGTAACCACGCATGTGGTAACCCGCTTACCCTTTGTTATAATCTCCAGTTCCTCTGCACGCGTGGTAGGCTGCCCAAACACCACCGCTGGGCAATCGAGCACCTGGCAGTGGCACGTGTTGAAGGGGGCAGAGTGCGAGGGGGTGTGTGTGAGGGTGAGAGGGAAGCAGGACCGGCAGGCAAGAGGGCAAGCAGGGCAAGCAGGCAAGAGGGGCACGTGTGGCAGGCCTCAGTCCATACTATAACATACAACACAGCACTTACCACTGGGCTGAAGACCCTCTCGTTCTTCCAGTAAGCCATGGGGGGGAAGCGAGGGCGACCTGAGGGTAGAGGGAGTAGGAGAGGGAACGCAGAGTGAGGGAGAAGGGATGCAGCAGAGGCATGGGGGTCGCACCATTCTTGAGCAAGTGCTAATGCCAGAGCACATGAGAAAGAACATGGTACACTACACGAAACATGGTACACTACACGAAACATGGTACACTACACGAAACATGGTACACGAAACATGGTACACTACATGAAACAAGGAGGGAAGGTACACTAGCCCGCAGCAACAAAGCGAGTGGGGAGGAGGTCGCAAGAAGCGAGAGGGACTCTTGAGTTGACTCAAAAGAGATGTGCAACAGTGTGACATAAGGTTGGTTTTGAGACGTCTCAAAACCAACCTTATATCAAGCGCAAGGGACTCTTGAGTTGACTCAAAAGGGATGTGCAACAGCGTGACCCAATCAATGCGAGAGGGGACTAATTGCGAAGCGCCTCACAAATGTGCCACAGCATGAAACAATAAGTGCGAGGAGGGGGGGGCGCACGCAAGAAGGAAAGCGAGAGGGAGGCCACACCACTCCTGGACTACTCCGAATGGGCCATGCAAGAGCACATGGGGAAACATCATGCAGCAGGCTTTGAAGGGCTTTGAAGGGCTTTGAAGGGCTTTGAGTGGTGGAAAAGGGCATAGCATGAACCAATCAAAGCGAGAGGGATGGCGCACCACTTCTGGAGTACTCCAAGTGCGTGATGCCAGAGCAGATGGGGGCAGCTGTGGGTGAAACCGGGAGGGACCTAGGAGGATTAGCATGGCTGCGAGTGGGAGAGGTGGGGGCCTTTGCACGGCTGCGAGAGGGAGGGGTGGGGGCACTGGCGCCGCTGCGAGTGGGAGCGGGGGGGGCACTGGCACGGCTGCGAGTGGGAGACTTTGATCGGCCTCTGCGGATACGCGTGTGGGACTTGGGAGAATTTGCTCGGCTGCGAGTGGGGGACTTGGGAGAATTTGCTTGGCTGCGAGTGGGAGACTTGCCCGCGCCTCTGCAGCTTGGCGTGGGAGCAGCGGCAGGAGGAGGTGGAGGA